CTGGTGGCTCGTGGCTTAGACAGGTGTACTCTTCGCTGGGTTAGAAACTGTCTGGATGGGAGAGCCCAGAGAGTCGTGGTAAATGGAGTTAAATCCAGTTGGTGACCGATCACAAATGGTGTTCCCCAGTGCTCAGTTTTGGGGATGGTCTTGTTTAACATCTTTATCAACGACCTGGATGAGGGGATCGAGTGCACCCTCAGCAAGTTTGCAGGTGACACGAAACTAAGCGGGAGTGTCAATCTGCTTGAGGGTAGAGAGGTTCTGCAGATGGATGTGGACAGCCTGGATCAATGGGCTGAGGTCAATTGTATGAAGTTTAAGTCCAAGTGCCGGGTCCTGCACTTGGGTCACAACAACCCCATGCAGCGCTACAGGCTTGGGGAAGAGTGTCTGGAAAGCTGCCTGGCAGAAAAGGTTCTGGGGACTCTGTATTAGATTTCTATTGTATCTTAAAGAGAAAAAAAAAATCATATAGTCAAAAATCATTCTTTCCTTTAGTTACGACTAAATGAACATTGAACTACTTGCAGCACAATCTTCAAAAAGCAAAATAAGTTGCAAGCTAATCTAAACTTTTTTATAAAATACATGAATGCACTATGTTCCAGCATTTATTAACATTTTATAAATGCTCATTATTTATATTTTCCAAAGGTTGGATTGAGGAAGACAGCCAGTGGATGACCCAGATAAACAGACTCCAAAAGCTGATTGACAGGCTGGAAAAGAAGGTGTGCATTTCTTTTCACCTGTTTGTTGTCTCGCTTTCAGTAAAGCAATCCTTAAACCACAAATGTGTTCATGTCCCAATCGCAGTCTTTCCAATCAATAATGAGTGAAACTTCAGCATCACCTAAGAGAGCTTACAGTCATTAAAAATGCCTACATTTTCCTTCCACCTTCTTGTTTCCTGTTCATGAGAGCATAACAGTTTTTTTTTCCACACTCCCCTTTCCCCTTCCCATCACCACAGATACAACTTTTCATAAAGATCTGAAAAGTCGCATTACTCTGTAACTGGAGGATGTTACTGTATTTAGGTATGCTTGTTTGGGTGAACACAAGGGAAACCTCTCTTTTTAGGATCTGATTTTTTTCTCTTCCTCTCCAAACTTTCCCACTAAAGCTTGACAGAAAGTTTTGTTTCCTCCTTCTCTATCAGAGAATACTAATTTATAAATATTAAAACACTTTCCTGATAAGTAGAGTTCAGCCAAAAGCTGATGCAAATCCCACCATCCCACCTGGGAGCCGGCAGCACCAGCCCCCAGAGCCCTGAGACTGCCTGCAGTTCCCATGCCTAAGCAGAGTCCTCCGGGAATCTGAAAAATGACCCATCTGATCCAATGATACCAGGGCTTCCTAGGGCTTGTAAAAACCTGAGTAACATCTGTCTGTACAGAAAATATCTTATTTCTCTTTTTTTCCCAATCAGATTGATTGCTACACTAGGTTTTAAAAGTTGGTTCATGTCTGTGTGATGACTTTTTTTTTTTTTTTTTTTTGAGAAGAAAAGCGGAGGAAAAAGCAAGGTTATAAATAACCTGTGTTCTCTACATAAAGTGTCCCTATTGAAGGACAGACAGACAATTTCAGATAGGTGCTAAGGCAGTGGCTGAATTCAGTGGATTTTGGGACCTAGGGGATTTCTTCCTCCTGGTCCACTAGAGGCCAGGTTGAAGGGCTCTCGGAGCCAGGAGTTGTGCCAGTCTCAGTGCGGCTCATGCTGCTCTTCCCTGCAGGTCAGTGCTCACTGGTGGTGAGGCTGTGCGTGTACTCCAAAGACATGGGTCAGCACACACCAGCATGGGTGCCTTCACCAGCACCCACAGACAGGAAGCACTTGCAGAAACACGAACATGCAACAGCCTGATCCTGCTCTCCTTTCCAGCTGATCAGGATGGATGTTTCCCCAAGAACATTATCATGGGCTTTAAGTATACCTAGTATTTGTGGCTGGACCCATGCCCATTACCCAGGCACTGGCTCAGACCTTGGGTCCTCACAGACAAGTCTCCTCCTTCTCACCTGCTAGTCCAACCTGAGTTCAGTAGCTAACTATACACATACATAGAAAATAGTTAAGTAAGGGATTTATTAAGAAGGTAGAATAAATGGTGGTGACCCAGCACAGGGCTCAGCAAGACAAGCATACTGACCTTTCTCTGCCATTGCTCCCTCCCAGATGAACAAACTGCCCCTAATTACTTTTCCCCTTTGGTCCTTATTACTGATTAGCTGCATTACCAATATGGTCACCCCCAGCACTGCTGGCCTTGCAAGACTCTGGTCTCCAAAAGGAACCCAGTACTCCCTTCAGTTATCCCTGAAGTCTGACAGTCTCTTGCATCGCTTCTCCTTAACCAGCTGTGAAATTCGGCCGTTCTTTGTGCCACTGTCTGTAATTTCTGTCAGCTTCTTACTCTGCTCTTTACTATGCTTAGCAGCTCCTTATGGTCTGCTCAGTCCATTAAGCCTCTGGCCAGGGCATACCCAGCTGCCTGCATACAACAGCTTCCTCCCAGAGGTCTTTTCTGCATGAGAAAAGCAATTACACAACAGTTGTCACATTAATGACATTTTAGTAGCAACTTGATTTTTTTCTGAAGAGATATAAATTGGATTTCGAAATGTCAAAGTCCATCATGAAATGTAACTCACTTTTGGTCCAACTTTATGCCAAGCTCCACTTTGGAAACAGCAGCTTGCTGCCCTGCTACAGTTGCCTCCCGACATGGACTGGTGCCAAAAGGAGTTTAAGGAAACTTAACATTAAAAGGACATTACTGAAAAAAGAAACCTGGCACACAGCAATAATGCAATGCAAACGTTACAGAAAGCAGCCAACCATATTGTAGTAAAGAAATTTATGACAAGGATGTTATAAAATGATCAAATCTGCTACAGAGAAATGACAGAGAACCTCAGTCTGAAAAGGAGCTCAGTGCCAAAGGGAAACAGTGGCAGGCATAGCCCATGCCCCCTAGGAGTGCAGCAGCTGGAGCCTGCCACCTTGCTAATTCCCTAATTATCTCTTTATCAGTATAAAACTTGATTAATAAAAACATAACAATTACATAAACCTAATTTTGCAAGTGGACAGCCTATATCTACCTTTGCCTAACTTTGCATCTGTTTGACTTTGTATCTCATGGCCAAGTCTAACTGTAAGAGGTGTTAAATATCAGCTTTCAGCAGCTCCTACAGCTCCTCTTTTTGACTTTGCCCTGAAACAGATTAGAAAGGATCGCACAATCACACTAAAAGGCAATTTCAGAAGTTACTACTTCTCAGATGAGGTGAGGCAGGACTGCAGAGGCATTTTAAAGCCCCAGCTCTGAGGTGAGGTGCATCAGGTTTTATTTCCAGGCTGCTTGATAACGGTCTGGCAGAACCTCTGTTCTCCACATTGGGCTACTTCACTCAACATCGAGTCAGTTGATGCACGACCACTCGTTCCACACAGATGTCTGAGACTTTGTGCCAGTGCTCGCATGCTCTGAGGTGACAGCAGACTTACCCCATCTGTGCAGTCACACCCTGTCTAATGACATAACATTACTGAAGAACTGCTATAGATTATTTTTAATTTCTTGAGAGGGCCAGCAAGTTATCCACCAGTGATTCCTATTGGAAAACTACATGGTGAAGGGTTGATTTAGTGTTGTCTAACTCTTCTGCTGTCTTCTGTCAAAGATGACTTGACACGAATCAGTCTCGTAAGTTGTCTTTTTATATTCAAGTTCTAAATTTATATATACTGGAAAAAAAAAATTCTTTTCTTGCTACCTTAATAGAAAGTTTGCAGTACAACTTGAGTCATTCCTTTCCTCTTTTTCCGTATGTTTCCCTAGAAAAAATTGCACTGGAAGTATAGAAGAACACCAGGAATATGCATTTTCCCTTAGGGTTTTTATCTGAAGTGTCTGCACGGACAAATGAGCTATTAAACAGAGTGTTTTGCCCTACATGCACACATTTCATGCCGTTCTATGCACATGCTACAGGAGAGGTACAGCTTCACAGCAGTTCCTGTGTGACTGCTGCTTCACTCCTGCCTTACTCTGCCACTGGCAGCTGGTGGAGGTCCCCTGTTCATTTGAATTCTACATGTACACCGCTTGTTGGTTTTTCAGCGAGTACAGTACTGGTGCTGGTAAAACGCCTGCTACCTGAGGTTAATCAATCCTCACCCAGCTGGAAGCAGAAGAAAATTTTTTATCTTTGTTGTAACTGTGTGCTGTAAGAAGCAAAGCACCACTAACAGAGTGCATTTTGCTCCAGCTGCTTATTGCAAATCGATCTGCTTTTTTTCAGGCATATGGATATTTTTCAGAATATCCAAATGGCACTGGGTTAGAAGGTACTGCATGTGCCTGGCACGTAACTGATAATTTTGTGTGCATTACTAGATGGTGTTTGCATGAATCACCAATTCATGAAGTGCACATCCAGTTCCTGTGCCAAGCAAGGATGCTGCTGCTTTACAGATGCATCTGTTTGCTGCTGCCCAGCCTGTCCTCAGAAGCAAATGCAGCAGTTCAGAAACCTAACTTGGAGCATCATGCATGTCTTTTTTGATGCTGGAAAACAGACCCTTGCAACCATAAATGCCCCACAGAGAAGGTTCTTCTGTGTAAAGTTTTATGATTGCCTAATAGTAGCTGATAGTTCATTTCGAATTACCATTCTTGCTCATCTCCACAGTCCACATGACAATTTCAGAGGGTATCTGTCTTTTCTCAATTAAGTCCAACATACATTTGTGAAAAAGCAGATTTGTTACAAATGAAAAATCATCTGCTCAGCATTATAAACAAAACTTTACAGAACAGCCTGGGTTGGATTTAACCACTGAAGTGTGCAAGATTCTGCAAATGATGCTTGTGTTTGACTTACAGCTCATAAAGAAGGGATTTAGTTACAACTTCTGGAGATAAAACAAAACCTAGCTATTGGAATAGTTTATTAAAAAGCTAAGAGAAGAATACAGCTGTAGCATTGCCTCTTATATTTCTATTTTCTTTTCAACTGCCTCAAAGGACCTAAAGCTTGAGCCATTTGAAGAGGAAATTTTGGAAGAAAATGCAAGATCTGTAAGTGCTTTTCAAGAAAATTATTTTGGCATTTGATTTTGAATGCCAGGTATTGAGACAACAATCTCACTTGATCTCTTTTGTTAAAAAAAAAAAAAAATCTAAAAACCCACCATCCTCACTTTGTCCAGTGATAAGAACCCTTTTTAGTTAACCGAATACATTGCGCAAGGGGCAACAAAACAAAACTTAGAATATGTGGGCAAAACTTTTATATTAATTTTTCCATTGTTTTCAAAGGATACAGTGAGCCAAAACCTGAAGTCACATAAGGAGGAAAAGGTTACCGAATGTGGCAGCAGTATTTATGAGGTGGTAGCTTCTCTGCTTCCAATCACCTAATGTTACATGCATGCCTTAAATATCAGTTGTAGTCAGCCTCCCTCCCTCCCAAAACTGCTGTAGGAAGCCTTATCAGGAAAGATGGGTGAGCATCTAGTGCTACGCAATAATCAATATCACAACTTACAAAACCAAAATCATGACCAGAAATAAAGTCACTGTTGAATAAGTTTATGTCCCAAGATTGAGCTCAATTTTGCAAACACGCTAGCGTTCCTAAATTCAGGGCTTTGACACTAACAAAATGCAAATCAAATACACACACAAAAAATAACCAAAATAGATGATCCATCAAATTCCTTATTTCATCACAGGAGTTGCATTAGATTTTTTTTCTTGTTTTTTAAACAAGACTATACAATATCGCTGGACAGGCTGCTTATGATGGAGAGATAATCCATGAGATAACAGAATCAATGATCAAGGCAGAAATGAGTCAAAAACCTGTACAAGAGATTAAGTTGTATTAAGGAGCACATGGTGTTTCTTTAAATATTGCATTGGTAAAGTTGACAAGTTTCAATCAATATGTAAACTACCTAAAATAGCTAAATAATAATCATCATAATTCGGGATAAATAGGTCTTCTGTACTGCCTCGTGTTTCCATAGTCCTGCTTATAAAGATTGTTCAGTTTTTGCAGAAAGGGGGAGGAAAAAAACCCTCATCAACATTTAACATGGGTTACTGTAGGCATCTCATTCAGGTGTGAGTCAGAGCTCTAAAAGGTAAAAGACTATGAAAGCACCTCAAGGAAAGTAATACTACATCCAATACAGATTGTGGGAATATGCTCTTATCTCAAACCTCACACCTGCGTTGCATACAGGTTCATCCAAGGAAACATGCTTTATTATTCAACATTTCGAAGATCAACATTTGCTTCACACTCTTCCAGAAAAACTCTCTTATCCAGGGTTCGGACAACTCTCTTGCTTTCTCTAAGCACTCATTTTGGATATTTCCATTCTGTGCCTCAGCCCGCCGAGACACAAAAGCCACAGTGGAGCATTTCTATTTCTCTACTCCAGAGCACTAAAACAAGGACTGCAAACTTTGAAGGAACTTCTGTAGGTTCTGATGATTGTGGGGTTCACTGTCTCTTAGTTCAAAGAACAAGGAATTCAGAGAATGATATGGCAGTAATATTCTCATGTTTTTGCATCAGCACATAATGATTGTTCAGCGTCAAATGTCTGTGATAGAAGAAGAAATTGGGGAATTCCGGCTTGCTCTGAAGCAGTACGTAGAATCTGCTTCTACTCAAGGCGGCTGCTTGCAGTAAGTACAATGTTATTGTCCTTGGGCTGAAGGAAGGAACATAGTCTAGTTTCTTGAATAACTTTTAAGTGGAGCTGGATTATTTATGAAAACAGAACTTGTAACATCTTCTTTCCCGGCTGATTATGCATGTGTGTAAGACAGAACTTTTCAAAGACAACTAAAACCAGAAAGAGATGTCGAAGTATACGTGCAGACTTTAAATAGTATCATGAAATGGCAATACAGGCTATCCCAAAGATGCTAAACAAACTTTTAAGGCTTCTCAAGCTCTGCAGGTCATCTGTTCATGGCTTCTGGAAGCTCCTAGGCCGACACTCTTTATTGGAAAACTCATTTGCCATCATTTATTTGTGCTCACCTGAGCAACTCATCAACTTGTTTGCCAGTTCTCTGCTTGGAAGCTTTCAGAATCTTCCCTTTAGGCTGTCATTTTAAAATTTTCATTCATAATAAAGAATTGGAAAAAAATAAAAAGCAAACTTTTCAATGAAACTGTATTTCTGCCTTGCTCCTTTTAGAATTAAATAAAACATTAGAACTGGGTTAAGAATAAATTTCAGTCACCCACCACTGTACTGAATTTCTTAATTTAACATACTGGAGAAAGATACTACTGTGCACACCAAGATTATTACGAAATAAATATTTTTATAGCGTATACACAATACAGGATCTGCCTATATATTCAAAGGCTGCCTGTCACATCCCTACTCTATAAGCCTTGTTGCTATAAGATTGTCACACTTAGGATTGTATCAGTAGCGTTCACACAGACCAGAAAAAGTAAGTTAAGGTGGAAGAAGAAAAGAGTGACCTTTTTGCAGTGGTTCACTTGTAAAGGCAGACTGATAAGGAAAATAAAATTCTCTTGTGGGCCAAGAGCTGGAAAAAACCAAAGAGGAGCCCCCCAGTCCCTTTCTAAAAATGAACAACCAACAAAACACTGTAGTGACTGCAAACTTGTCAGAGGAGAGAGTTTACACGACTTCAGACTACAACTTGACAAAGGATGGCAAAAAGTTACTTTCTTGCCCGAGTTTACAGGCATTTGGTAAGTCTGTAATGCCACCTGCCGGTGGGTTTTTACTGCAGCTGTTTATGACTTAATTTTTAACAGTTCTTGATACTTTTGCTATTTTACAATGTACTTTCACATACAGCAGGGGAAAACAAATAAAGGATATAACTTTTTGCTTATTACAGTATGAAATATAATCTGAGACCAGTTTCCAAGCACATCAGTAGTCAGATAAGCAATCTCACACTTGGGCACTCAGAGGAATACATATATGTACGTTTTGTGCTATACATCTAAACACGAATTTGAGTACCCAAATGCATAAGTACCCTACGTGCTATAAAGCTTTTATGCTCAGGATAATAAGTGGGATGATTCTGCGTAGAGGACCAGCAGATATTCTGTGGGTCATTTTTCAACCATGATAAATTTTTAGCTGAATAGCAGAACAAGTAAATAGTACCTGAAAGTATTATTTAAAAAGTGTATCTGCAGCAGACATCAGCCTATGTGGCTTTATACTCCATTATATATTTGCTTTCAAAGCACCTAAACCCTATGGCACTTTGATACACCTCTCAAACAGAAGGATAACATCTCACAGTGTAATTCTTCAATGAAACAGCACACGCTACTCTGTAAACTTACTTGCACTGCTCTCGATGTGCAATATGCTGTACTGGTCAACATTGCCTGAATCACAGTTGTTTGATTATTTTTCTATACTACTGATTAGCATTTCTTTAGATAAATGACACTATTTGAGCAATATGAGAAATTAGTTTCATAAATAAGAGTCCATCACAAGTGTAGTAGTACAATATATTAATAAATAAAAAGCTATGAAAATACTTCAAGAAGAAGAGCTCAGATAATTTGCAGTATGTGATCACTTATTTGTTAAATTTATTATCTGGTTGTTTTTTGGTTTTGTTTTGGTTTGGTTTTTTTTTTATTTTCAAAAATCACTGCATCTGGTCCTACTTATAAGCAGTTTGGAATAAGTTGTGTATATGTCCAATAACATTGTCGTGTTTTATTAAATTAGTTTTTCTCTATAATTCTTAGTGTTTCCATACAGAAACTTCCAAGTGATTCGCGCTTCATTGTTTATGAGTTCTGGGAGAACAGCAATGCCTGGAATAGGTAAATTTTTTCTTTTGGTAAAATACAGAAAGTTTTGAAGGTTAGAAAGCAATTATGTAGAAAGACTGCATACAAATTACTAATCGATATCACAATTAATACTTCAGAAAATACTTCAATTGCTAAAGACTAAAATGTGCTGAAACGTATAAATAAAAATGTCAGAAAGACAAAGCTAATTCAAATAGAACATAAAAAGTCTGAAAGTGAATAGATAAAGGTATGGCATCAGATGGATGTTAGTTCATCAAAGACAAAAGAATAGGGAAACGGCAATATTACCAGTTTAATGATAATGAAAGAAACAAAGGGAGCCAATGAGCAAGACAGGAGGTGTGCCATCCAGCAACACTTAAGCATACAAGCAGTCACGGGGAGCTCTCCCAAATCCACATCACAAAAACCCATCCGACAGATTCCCTGAGTGTCTCTTTTGGGCCCAAAATAGAAGTTACAGTGATTAAAAGTCCTACCAGCCAAATTCTAGCCTGCAGCAGGCAGATGGCTGAGAAATTGAATAGAGACAAAAAGATTTTCCTTAATTACATTTACTATTAAAAAACCCAAGCAAACCAACCCTATGATCCTAAATTTGTAGAGACAGAAACCATTCTGAAGGAAGATGGAGAAGTCTCTTGAAGTTCAGTTGCTTTCCTTTTGAACAAAACCCCAATTCAAAGTTTACTTTCATAAAGACTCAACAACACTAGTAACACACGTCAACACTATACTGGGTCACAAGCAGGAGATGAGCATCAGAGTAACAGTTAACCGTACAGAAGAAAACCAGTGTTTAATATAACAGGCAACCACTTCACAGCTCATCTGGTCTCCTCTCCCACTATCGCCTAAGTTTTGAAGCACAAAATCTCTGTTACAGAATTAATTGTAAAATTTCTAATGCTCATTTAAAAAAAAAAAAATTACCCCTTTAAAAAACTTGATATATTCTTATTTTTACAATTATTTAGCCACCTTCAAATGAATTACAACAAGACATTCCAAAGAAGTAACGTGGACTTCTTGGAAACTCCAGAGCTCATCACAACAATGCTAGTCCCTGGTAAATATCAATTTTTCACGTTATTTTGTTTGTTCCATGTGAAGAGTTCTGCTATATTAGTGTGTTCCATATGCAGGACCACTGCATAATATCACCCTTAGTCAGATCTTCTTTGGTGAAGTAAAGTGGAAGAAGGGACACCAAATGTTTTTATTTTAAGCACAGAAATGTAAAATACATCAGCAAGAACAAGATCCACAATGCTTTATTTTATATAGTGCAAAGTTACGCTAGCATATACTATTTAAGAAAATATCTAGAATAAACAATACTATTCATTAATAGTAAAATAGACCCCATTTAAGATTTTCAGGCAAAAAAATGCTTTCTGATTAGGTCTTCAACTTAATCATACTTACATTGACTGAAGGGAGCCTTAATTACTCATAATTGATATTTACTAACCAAATTATTGTACACACTTCCTGCTGTGTTAAAAACAAACAAACAAACAAACAAACAAACGATTAAAAAGAAACCCTACTTTGAAAAAGCAAGGTGTTAAAAAATCCAGATTATTATTTCTAATACAAAGCAGTGAGCATGCAACACCATCTTTCTCCTAGAAATGACAGTTAAAAGACAGCACAGGATGAAGCAAATCAAGTGTCAGTCCCATATTTACAGAGGGACAACAGCAAATATTTTTATCTTAGGGAACACAAATCAATTACAGTAAACCCCTAATTTCCCCTGTGTCTGAGTACAAACTAAATTTAAAACAATAAAACCCCACCTAGCAGAGAAAAACAGTAATTACATAGTCCTGTACCTGGGGTTTCTCCTCAAAAGAAACCAGCCAAGACATTTTCAGACCTCATGAGCCTGATTTGGACACACAATTATATGCCAGGGATTCCTGCAGTATCAGGAGATTGCACTTAATGAACCAAGAATTCCTTCAAATCTTGTATCTTACTGGGAAATTGCTGGATTTAAGACAAACAGCAGTAGGAAACAATGCAGCCTTTTCCCAAACTTCTTTGTGTCCAAGAGCTGGACTGCGTATGACCCAGGAGTGTTCCAGGGTGGTCTGCTCACAGCTAAAGTGCAATTAACATAAAACAGAATTTTTAAATGCCTAAATATAGAAGTGCCTGGAATTGGATTCAAATTGCTTGTTAAAGCATCGACTCTGCCTGCTAAGAAGGATTTCAGTCTGCAGCCCTCCATCCTGGCAGGCGGTTGCTATAGAAACAGAATTTCTCCCTGTGCACTCCTTGCTGGGGGGCAACGGGAAGTAATGCCTTCACAGTTGTTTTTACAATTTTATAGATTATCTGTAATTTAGAAATCCGTGCAGAGATTAGAACTTTTGTTTCACAGAAAGTACTTCCCATGTTTCACCTATGCAAATGATATTTGTATTTGAAAGACAGAAAATATTCTTGAAGTAAAAATTGATGGCTGCAATCCTACCTGTATACTTTATGAAAGAATTTTAGACATTGTAAAGTGGTAACACTGTAAAATCAGGGAAAAAAAAAAAACAAAACCTGTCTGAAGCTAGCACATAGATAGGCTCTGTTTTAAAAACAAACTTACACTAGCTCAGACACATCCACACTTTTCTACACATCTGAGTAACTAAGAACTGAAACGATTCTAAATTGTAATCTGAATCTGATTCAATCAAAGATTACCACCCGAAATACTTACCAATTAATTAAAATTAATAAGGACACACTGATGTGGTCAAGAATTATTCAGGAACACAAGGGTTTTCAAGACTGTTAGAGCAAATATTATCCTAAAGTAAATTCATTTACCATCAGTTAATAGGAATCACAACCTATTATGACCACTTGCACATCTGTTAACCAACCAAGTTGCTTCAGGCCAATCTACCAGGGTGGCAAGAATAACTCAGTTCATCTTCAATTAATGCCTAATTTTTTATAAGACCTGGACTTGAGAACACTAGAGAACCTTTTGCTGAAGAAATCAAAACCTAGGGAAAACCGCTGAACACTTACAATGCCACAATCCATGCAATAAACTGTTAAATTGGCATTTTTTTCGCCAAAATCCATTAATCCACTGATGTGTCAGAGACTACTAGGCTTTCATAGCCCAAATTCAGGTAAGATTCTTAATTCTCTTCTCAACATTCTTCTTCAAGAATAATATTTTAATAAAAATGGCGCAAATTGAAGGATTTATGGACACATTCACAGAAGCAAGTTGTGTTAATGAATGTAATCCCCAAACACTGTAGTGCAAAACCTACTGAGCCTGGAACACCCCTCTGCTAAGGGGACTTGGCATCTCCAATACAGTTACAATTCCTTTCCTTCCTTCCTGTCTCTCTCCACAAATCTTGAGGTTCCTCTGTGCATCAGGTTCAATTTCAAAAGGCCAAAGGGTAGGGACTGTGGGGAAGAATCACAGAATGTTAGGGGTTGGAAGGGACCTCAAAAG